CCAGTTAAACTAATATGACACAATATCTGGTGGGCTCTGTTCTCCATACCTCCAATGTGGCACCAGTGTGGAGGGAAAGATGGGAGCAGGGTAACTATAAATGCAGTTCTTTCTCCAACTGTCCGGGCTAACAGCAAACTGAAAGGTTTCCCACAAAAACGGAAAGGTAAGAGCGGTGTGGCCTCAGCAGCAAGGATACTCACTATTTACTAATATGAGAAAATAATAGCCGGGGACCAAAAGCTCCTTTTCTTTGGCAAGAGATGGCACAGCTCACTAAATATTTTTTCTGTTATTTTAATGAGCAGCGTGGCGCGCACAGGTTCGGGAGGGTGAAAAATCTCAAAGAGAAAGAAAGCAGGCTGTTTACATGGAGAGCGGTCTTGGCAACAAAATGACAACAACTGCCAAACTCGCCAACTCGTTGCTGCTTTGGAATACTCAGTCTCTTTTTCAAACGCCAATAAAATACTACAGAAAACAAAACAGATACGCCAAATGACGTTCCCATTGTGTGAAACAGTTGTGTGTATTACGTTAAAGCTGGCTATCTCGTAACCTGAGAGCCTTTCTCATGCCGTCGTCTTGGCCTGCTCTCTTTTTATCCCCAAATGCCTACTCGTTCATTAAAAGCGCAAACCGACAGGGTCAGTAAACATGCTCATTCGCGATTAAATTTATCCATCTGGTTCGATCCAAGATCCCCACAGCCATGTTTGTATCATTTATTGTTGATTATTCCTGTTTGCGCGTACCACCACCCTTCCAAGGGAAACGCCGTGGAGCAGCACTGCCCACTGTCAATTTATACAACAGGGAAAATACGATTTCCGCTTGTAACTGTCTTTAATCACAGTGAATTTGGCCGTCTTGGCATGGACTGCTGGCTTTTATTACTTCTGTTTATCGGCTTAAATGGAAGCATTAGAATCGTAATTTCACCACAAACAGGGTATGCAGATGTTCGGAGTCTGTACCCCGGGGCAGGTCGTCGCTGTCTTAAGTTACCATCCATAGCACTCATTGATCGCATTGAGACAGTTTTCATTCGTATATGTCGCTGTTGGAAAATTCTGCAGTGTTCTTTGTGAAGAGGCGAAGCACTTGGCAAAAGGGGGCAGGGATAGCTCAGTATGTAGAGTGGTGGCCCCACGATCGGAAGGCTCGAATCCACTGAACGGCTACGAGGTACCCCTGAGCAAGGTACCGTCCCTGCACACTGCTCCCCGGTGCGCCTGCTTAGTGCTGCCCATTGCTTTGCTGAGTGAATGGGTCAAATATGCATATATATATCTATATATAGATATATATAGATATATATAGATATATAGTCTACAACATTACTCCTTTACATCAGGGGCCACAGTGGGCTCTCACACACCTTCCAGTGTTTTGGTTGTGAGTGTGTGTTTAACACTGAAATAAATGTGACAGAGACTTCATGCATTTCAGGCTGAACTGCTGAAAAGACGATTGAATCCCTCGACAGTAAGCGACAGAGTGACGCTCATACTCAGTCCATCATTTTCATATTTATTTATGAACTCTCACGCAGGCGACTGCATGCACCCCCTGCAAGCAGATATGCAAATGTGTCCATGGGACACACACAGACATGCAGTTTACCTCATCTACCCCTTGTTTTACTCTCAGCAGATTACAGCTGGCTCCTTCTCATTAATTACCTACTAATTAACTGGCCAATCAACCAATAAAGCTAAGCACTGACTTCCTTCCTCGTCCACAGTCCACCTGCTCGACCCACCCCCGCTCTTGCATGCACGCACACAAACACACACGCATACTGCCATCCATTCTGCATGTTGCCATGCCAACAGGGACCTAAGCCCCTCTGGTTGATGCTTGCAATCAAGGGTCTTTTTTTCTGGTTTTCATACAAACACAAATCGACACACAAACACACATTAGGATTACGAGGACTGTCTGGTAGTTTCATTATATAATTATTCACAGTTTTAGCTTCTCACTCGCAACTAAAAGCATCTAAAAAGGGCAGACATGTGTTTTCTTTTCTTTAAATTGTTGAATAATTTCATTTACAACAAATAAGAAAGGATAGAATAGTGCAACGTTAGGAAGTATTCTGTAGACTGTATGTGAAGGAAATTGTCACCCAGAGCATGTAGTGCTTTCCTTCATTCATTGATTTATTAATTCTTGCTTGTGCAGAGATAGTGGGTT